TCCAGCCGCTCTCCCCTCCTGGGCTCGTCCGGCTCGCAGGCATGACGCTTGGTCACGGTGGTTGGTGGCTCAGGGCTCCGTAGATAAGGCCGGCTGGCTGCCTGCAGATGTCCTGCCTGGTTTCCTGAAAGACTTGAGGTGACTTGCAGGAAACAAAGTCAGTCATAACTATTAAGTTTAAAAAGTTATATGAAATAAGGGGGAAAACGTGAAAAAAGGCAACTGGAGCCAGTAGAGTAAACGACATCAGAGATGCAAAACGCTCACCATCGCCTTTGCTGGAGCCCGTTCTGGCTCCAGCGTTCTCGGCTGCAAAGGTGTAAAATGGAAATGTGAGTGCGACGTTCCTCTTCTCCAGGAGGGGGGACCGCGAGGTTCCCGAGGACCAGGCTCCTCTTAGCAGGGGGGCAGAGAGGACCCCAAAGCGCTGCCTCCCTTCTGCCATTCCAGAGCAAGGTTTCCGAAGCTGTTGCTCGAGAAATTCCTGGGTGGAGGCCGGAAGAAGTCGTGCTCCCCAGGGGCAGAGTGGCAGGGCTTGGGCAGCGGGGCTGAGGCGCGGTGTCCCTGGGTACTGCCCGGTAGAAGGGTGTTCCGTTGCTCTGCCAAGTGACTCCTCTCACTGTGACTCTGCTTGGCAGTGGGGGTTTGGGGGGGCGGGGGCTCGGGGCAGAGGCTGCTGGCTGGGCACCTGGAAGGGTCCCGTGAGGCTTCTGGTGGTGCTGACACCTGTCCATGGAAATTGAGGTGTTTAAAATTCATAAATAAACCAGAAATCCATTCAATAAAAAGAGATAAAAATAGCAGAAAGAGGAAGCTACAAGAAAACATACGAACTCCGTGAAATTATCAGACTGAACATGCCCCTTTCTACACGTAAAAGCGGTTTATAGCAACACAGCATGGCCTGAGTCACGGCACGATCCCTGGGATAGTTTCATCAGATGTTGGAGTGCCTCGGTTTCCCACCCTGTGCATTGGGACGGTGAGGAAGTGTGCAGGGTCAAAGGCCAGGTGCGCAGCGCCTGTGTGTGGGGTGTGCTCAACGCTGGCATCCTCATCTCACCACCCCTCACCACACACCGGACACGCATCGGACACGCACTGGACACGCACCGAATATGCATCGGACACTCACCGGACACGCACTGGACGTGCACCGAACATTCACCGGACACACATCAGACACGCACCGGACACGCACCAGACACGCATGACACTCACCGGACACGCACTGGACACATGTTGGACACCACATCAGACATTGCAGTCCAGCCTGACCCACTTCCTCCTCCCCGCGTTCCTGTGAGGCAGGCACAGGCCCACGTGGTGGGGTCCTCAGTGTCTGTGTGGGAGTGGGGGGGCTCTTGGGAAGCGTGACGCCCTCTCACGGCGAGGTGGCCAGGTGAACCCCGAGCCCTGGGTTGCTCTGAAGCTGCCACAGCTTCCTGCCAAGCCAGTTGCTGGAGTGTTTGCCAGTGGAGGGCGTCCATTCCATTCTCGGGCAGCTTGGCTGTCGGTGCCTGTGGTTCTGAGGTTCCTCCGTGGTGAATGAAGCTTGATTTACACCTTTTGGTTACGCATTTGCCGTGAAGCCAGGAGCTGTGCGTGCTCCCACTGGGCTTCTCGTGTGAGATGTGCCGCGGCCGGGACAGCCTGGGCACCTGCCATTCTGGAGCAGTAAGCGAAGCCTCCAGCCCTTGGTTCTTTGGGCTCTGCCGGGAGCGAGCGGGACTGGAAACACGAGTCCAGGCTCTGTCCGCGCATTCAGGCACCACGGCTTCGTGCCGTTACTTCGGCCTCTGTGGCCCTGAAAGTTGCTCTGGTATGTACAGAAGAGGCCGTTTTGTCGTTGTAAAAACCTCAAATGTTTTGTGAATTACTATTAATTGTTAACGTGTGTCCTGTGAGTAGCTCGTCACCTGAGGCCTTGTCGTGAATATTAAAATGCGCGTCTGGTGTCCCTTTTGGCTTCGAGGTTGATGGTGGTTTTTCCTGCCAGTGGGGACGCTGTCTGCAGAGCACCAAGCTTCTCCAGGGAGGCCGCAGGGCGCTGCCTGGGGAGTGTGCGTCCTGCCCCGAGATCCTGCAGCTGTGACTTTACACAGGGTGGGGGCGGGGTGACAACCCCTCGCCTTGTCATGAAAGCAGCGCATTGTGCGGGGCGCATCTGTGGTGCCTTTGTGTACGTGTGACCCAAGTGCTCTGGGTGCATGCCTGCACGCACAAACACGCACACATGCCTGTGGGAACACACGTACGGGCACACACATGCACACACAAACACGTGCCTGTGGACACACACACCCACGGGCACACATGCACACACCCCACCACACACCACATGCTTGTGGGCACACACACCCACGGGCAGACACGCACACACCAACACCTTGCCTGTGGGCACACACCCATGGGCACACACGTGCACACCCCCACACACATGCCTGTGGGAACACACATACGGGCACACACGTGCACACACAAACACGTGCCTGTGGGAACTGCACGTACGGGCACACACGTGCACACACAAACACGTACCTGTGGACACACACACCCACGGGCACACATGCACACACCCCCACACATGTGCTTGTGGGCACGCACACACCCACGGGCAGACACGCACACACCCACACACGTGCCTGTGGGGCTACACCCATGGGCACACACGTGTACACACAAACACGTGCCTGTGGGCGCACACCTCCTATAGGCACACACATGCACACGTGACACACAAACACGTGCCTGTGGGCGCACACACCTATAGGCACACACATGCACACGTGACTGTGGGCACACACCCCACGGGCACAGGGTGTTTCTCCCTGGGGGTCCCTGACATCAGATCTCGGCGGTGCCCAGGCAGACCCAGGAAAATCAGAGGCACTCGAGTGCCTGCGACAGCGACCAATGTGAGAATGTGTTTAAAGGAAATGTGACTTTCTAAAGAGCCTTCATGAACCAGGATTCTGCTACGAGGAAGTCGGTGGAAGTCCCTGAGCATTCTGCCTTCATTGAAAGATAAAGAGATGTTTCTTTTGTGTGTAAATGGATACTGCTGTGTTTCCAAAATGCTTACAACAATGTAGGTATTTTAGGCCTCCTTTGGAAGATTGTGCCTTATGACAAAAAATGGTTTTCTGAGTAAACATTACTCAGTCTCTGACCCAGTTATAAAAATTATGAAATCAGTGAAATCCAAATGAAATGCCTGTTATTAAGGCCGCTGCAGAGGGAGGGGCTGGGGCCTGGACTCCAGGCCCCTCCCACGTGGGCTCCGGGCAGCAACGCTCGTGGCCCGAGGTTTGGGCCTCTGCCTGTGCTGTATCTCCTGGTTTAATTTGCATTTTCTCAAGGGCTAATGACACCGAGCATTTTTAATACATTGTTGGTCATTTGTCTTCTTTGGTGATATGTGTGTTCAAATCTTTTGCCCCTGTTTAAACTGAAATATTTGTCATCATTTATTGAGTTATAAGAGTTCTTTATATATTCTGGATACAAGTCCTTTATCAGATAACTGAGCTGCTATTTTTTCTAGTCTGTCTTTTCACTTGTAATTTTTTACATTTTTATTATTTTTTTGAGACTGAGTTTTGCTCTTGTCACCCAGGCTGGAGTGCAGTGGTGCAGTCTCGGCTCACTGCAACCTCTGCCTCCCGGGTTCAAGTGATTCTCCTGCCTCAGCCTCCCGAGTGGCTGGGAATTACAGGCACCCACCACCACGCCCTGCTAATTTTTGTATTTTTAGTAGAGACAGGGTTTTGCCGTGTTGGCCAGGCTTGTCTCAAACCCCTGATCTTAGGTGATTCGTCCACCTCAGCCTCCCAAAGTGCTGGGATTACAGGCGTGAGCCACCGTGCTGGCCCTTTTCACTTTTTAAGTAATGCTTTTAATGCAAAAAAGTTTTTAATGTTTTTAATTTTGATGGAAGTCTGATTTTCCATTTATTTTTCTTTTGGCACTTGTGCTTTGGGTGACAGATCTAAGGCATCTTTGGGTGCAGGTTCATCCCCGTTTTCTTCTCAGACGCTGGGAGCTCCAACCCTTACACCCTTACACATGGGTGCGAGGTCTGAGCTCATTTCTGCGTGTGGCTGGGGTGGGGCCTGCGCCATTGGTGACTGTGTGGATCACCTGGCCCAGCACTGTTGACCTTCCTTTGCTCTCTATCTGAATGGTTCCTCCTTGAATAACTTACATCTTTCCTATTTTGGACCTTAGCATAAATGTGTGTGAAAGTGGGCTTGTGTTGAGTTCTGAGTTGGTGGTAGCTGTGCGTGCGCCATAGTAATCGCCAACAGGTCCGGCACGGGGAGGAACCTAACCTCACCTGTGCTGGCCCAGGACAACAGGGAGGTTTGCAGAATGGCAAAGCCCGTTGGCTTCTGCTTCTTTACTGGGGTTGCAGTTATTTGAAGTCTCCATCTGTGGGGCGGCTGCATCTCCGGGTGACTCACGCATGGGCAGCCGGAGCCGTGCACTCTGTAAGCACAGTCAGTCGCGGGAGCCTCCCCCAGGAGTGAGGACGGCTAGGCATTCAGGACTTTGTACTGGATCTCTGGATAAAAGGAACCGGGCAAGGCACTGGAGTGCTGTGTTTTACATTCAGTCCATAAAGGGAGCCACCACCTGCCCCAAACCAGGTACCTTCAAAACATCACAGTGTCCCTGCGGCTGGACCTAGACCTGAGCACGTACCAGGGAAGTCATTCAGGCAGTGACCATGGTCTCTGTGGAAGTCTCTCAGCGTCCTGCACCACCAGGCAGCCCAGTTACAGTTCATCCGTGCAGTGCAAAGGCTCGAGGTGGAGGCCGGGGAGCGGCCACGACACCCTTCACCCCACAGGGAGCTGCAGGTTCATGTCTCCCACGTGCCACGCGGTGCAGGGCATTCTCATGGCACGTTTAAAACTAAGAGCACACGTGTGTGCCCCTGGGGCTGAGGCGGGAGCGTGGCTTGTGTTCTAACTGGTGCTTTTCTTTCTCTCCAGCCCCTTTTACGGAGAAGACTTTTACTGTGAAATTCCTCGGAGCTTTCGTCACCTATCCTTCTACATTTTCGATAGAGACGTTTTCCGGAGGGATTCCATCATAGGTAGGTGATGAATGAGCGTTTACTTCCCCTTTTCTGCCTGTTCTGTGCCAGGGGAGTATTAGCATTTCAGTCCGGAGCCTGGCGGGATGGTGCTGAGGGGTCACGGCAGCCCTGGGTGTTCCTCCTGATCCGCTCTCGGGATCTGGCCTGGCATCTGTGGTCCCTGCTGGAGCATCATGCCAGGCTCAGGTCAGTGAGCACTGCCAGTCGAGGCTTCCATGGCCCCTCAAGGCGAGAGCACAGCATCCCCAACCCTCTTCAGACAACTTCCCAGGGCTTCTCCCCGGGGCATCCGCGGGGGGACCTTTGTGTGGACATGGGGCCCTCCCTCCTCACCGCATCCTGGCTCTTCCTGTCCCAACTTCAGTCCCCACAGTGTGGGCACGGGAAGGGCAGGTGGGGGTGGGGGCGTGTGGTCTCAGTGTCCCCCGGTTTTCTTGGAGAAAGCTCATGGGCAGCCCTGCCGGGGATTGCAGGAAGGCAGCATCCTGTAAGCTGTGGGGCCTCTTGGCAGAGTGGACTTCAGGTTACTCAGGGAGCTCTTTGTTCCTAAATGCAGCCAGAGGACCCCATCAGGAGCGGACCTCACGCAGCAGGTGTGGGAGGCTGGGGTATCAGGCTAATTCCCGCCGTGATGCCGGGAGAGCCAGGAAGGGAGGAGGGTCCTGCAGCACCTGAGCTCACGCCCAGGACGGGTGGCCGGGGAACCAGTGTGTACTGGCTGCCACAGCCTGAACCCAGACCCCAGGTGGTGCAGGCTCCTCATCTCCCTGGCTGCCGGAATGCTGAGTGGTATAGTGCGGGAGGAGGAGTCCCCCAGGAGGACCCCAAGCTCCGCCCCAGGCAGCCTGAGGGTCCACAAGTGCAGGAGGCCAGCGAGGCCACAAGGGTGCGTGGGGGGGGGGGGGGGGGGGGCGCATCCTCCTGACGCTCACTGCTCACACTAGCTCCCCTTGCCGCATCATGGCCTCTCTGTCCCACGCCAGCTGCCCCCTTTCCCCAGCGCTCACCGATGTCCCTCAGCTGTGGGCTTTCCTCATCGTCCGCGTCCCTCTGTTTGTGAGCCATGGTCCAGGATCTGTGATCTGATCCATTCCCAGTGCTTGGCACACAGAAGTGTGAGAGGCACAGCCAAAGGCCCACCTCAGAGCTTGAGTGTCCTAAAACCCAGCCTGTCCCCACTGGGCAGCCGGCAGCTAGCGCATGTCAGCACGACATTGAGGGAGAGAGAGGGCATGAGGGAAACTGGCTAGCAGGTAACTGGTAGACTCCTGTCTGCACTCTGCTGTGTCCCAGGCCTCCACGGCAAGTCCCCTGACAGAGACAAGGAGAGAGACGCCCATCCTGACCGGTCTCACTCTCTGCCTGGCGTTGAGATGGGCTTGGCTGGGTGGCAGCTGTGAACCCAGAGGCCCTTGGGGCTGGGCGGACCCTCAGCTGGCATTGATAAGGCCCGTGCCCCCTCACCATTGCAGGAGTCGGGACCTGGACATTTTTGGGACTGTTATTCACTGTACCCGAATGATTATTCTTAGAAACTGCTGTGCTTTTCACAGAAGTCTCCAGAGTTTGTTTAGAAAATACATGGAATGGGTCACGTGGATCTCAGATAATTGACATTTGACTTCATTTTGAGCAGGAACGCTGTGCCGGGTGCTTCCGCAGCAGACACCCTGGCCCTGAAATGCGATTGCAGAAGGTGTTTGTGCTCCTGAGTGCGGTGGGCACCTGGCCCCCTTCAGGGTCTTGCTGTGCTTGGCCTTGTGTAGCCTTGTTGGTGAGATGGTCTTGAGGGTCCAGCATGACCCCTGCACTCCACTGCTCAGTGTCTGCCTGGGAGGCCCTCAGGTTCACGCCCATAGCTTCAAGTCGCGTTCAAGCTGTTTGGGCGCTGAGGAAGGGTTCCCTCTTCCTCTCTCCCTCTGACCAGGGCATCGGCTCCAGGGCTAGTGGCTGGCAGTTCTCCCTCCTGCCTTCGGGCGCAGCTGCTCTGCACCCCGCTCCTCAGGCACCTCCTCCTCCATCCCCACATCCTGCCATGCCCGCCTCTGGGACTGGGGCCTGCTGCAGGAGACGGCCTCTGACCCTGCAGCTGCCCTCCGTGGCCTGCCTCCCCTGCCCCCCTTGTTGGTTGTGGTTCTTCTGCCTGTTGTGCTGTGTCCACCGGACGGAGCTTCCCAGAGCCCATAGTCCTGCGTGCCTGTGTCTCGCTCCCGTGTTCTCAGCACCTCCAGGGGCCTCCAAGGGTGTTCCCAGAAGAAAGGGAGATGTGGAATCCAGATTATTCAGCGGAGGCTAATGGTGTATCTGGCGGGGCTCAGCCTGTGCTGGGCACCACGTGTCAGGCCTCATCACCAGCTCAGTTTATGTGCAAGAATCCACAGAGACTTGATTCATTCTCGAAGGTGTATGAGATATTTTTTGAGTGATAACCCTAAGGAAAAAGAAATTTAAAAATATTTTTGCGCATTTTAATAAGAGAAACTGATCAAGTTAGTTCCAGAGTTATGTGCTCTGAAAATAACCAAATAAGATGTTTATTAATCGTTCCGTCGATGTCATCTGCTAGCAGTTCTTGGTGGCTTTACCATTATGGTGACTGGACTTAGATGTCTTACTATGGCGTTTACAGCCATGAAAATGGATGGCTGTCTGGATCTCCGGTAACGATTTATCGTGATGATGGCAGTTATGTTGTTACTGGGCATGAAACACCAGGTTCTGGCGAGTGCGCTTCTGGGTGGAAGTGTGGGGTGGCCACTGGCTTCCTGGCTGCGCGGTTCTCCTGGTTCTCTCGTTTCTAGCAGCTGCCCACACCCTGAGGAAACCCCACCTGCCAGCGAGTTTCCTTGGGGCGGCCACAGCTGTGCTCAGTTGCAAGTTCAGGTCCAGGAGTGAGAGGTGCACTGGCAGGTGGAGACGCACTCCTATGGGGTCGGGGGTGTGGGTTGGGGCCGGGAGGGCATCTTTAGCCTGGAGGGGGAGGGCGGTGGCGACTGAAACCGAGAAAGGCAGCAGAATACGCCACCGCCACCCAGCAAGTTAGACTCCGGGAAATAAAGCCCCGCGCTCAGCCCTGCCCCGCCCACCCCGCCCCTCCACGGCTGCAGTCAGCTCCTGTAGGTCAGAAGCCTCCCAGGGGCAGCAGGCGCAGAGGGAAGAAGTGTCGGGCGTGGGCCGGCCCTGGGCGCGTGACCGGCCTTCTCTGTCCCCGTCCGCGGCCCACAGCGCTGCTGCCGGTGGCAACTGTCAGTCAAGCCGGGCTCCCAGCCGCAGGGCCGTGGCCTACGGACCCCCCGGGGCGCAGGTGCCTTCAGGCTTCCAGGCGCAGGGAGGCGGCCTCTGCCTGGGCTCGGCTGCCGGGCGCTGCACCGCGGAGCACAGACCGGAAACTATGGCTCCCAGCAGATGCCAGAACCGGGAAATGCGCGGGCCCGGCTCGCTGCTGTCAGTCAGGAGCACCGGGGTCTCCGCCCCCCATCCTGGGCCTCCCTCCTCTTCCCGCTAGGCCTCCGCCTTCCTCTGGGCGGCTCTGGTAACACCACGTCCCCTCCATTTGCCCCTCCAGCCCCTAGAGCCTCTCTGAGGCTTCCCAATGGGGTGGGGGTGCAGTGAGACCTCCATTCATTTCTTCTTCTTTTTTTGAGACGGAGTCTCGCTCTGTGGCCCAGGCTGGAGTGCAGTAGTGTGATCTCGGCTCACTGCAAGCTCCGCCTCCCGGGTTCCCGCCATTCTCCTGCCTCAGCCTCCCCAGTAGCTGGGTCTACAGGCACCGCCACCACGCCTGGCTTATTTTTTGTATTTTTAGTAGAGACGGGGTTTCACCGTGTTAGCCAGGATGGTCTCGATCTTCTGACCTCATGATCCGCCCTCCTCAGCCTCCCAAAGTGCTAGGATTACAGGCAGCAGCTACTGCGCCCTGCTGAGACCTCCATTCTTTGTGTATAAATCAGGTGGTCTGCAACTGACATAAGGTAAAGTTCAGTGTTTAGGTGTAACCTTCAGCAGCGTATGCAGGTGTGTAGACAGCACCACAGCTAAGATACGTTCCCACAGCCCAGAACACTCCTTCGGGGTGGATTTCCACCCTGGCCCACAGCCCCTGGCAGCCACTGCTCTGGGGCCTGTTCCCACAGTTTTGCCTTTTCCAGGAGACAACGCGAGTCAAACCCTGGAGGGACCGTGCCCTCTGCCAACGCGCTGGTCCTGCGCTGTGTGGCTGTGAGCCAGGTCGCCCCCTCCCACTGCCCATGGGTTTCCATCATACAGACGCACCTCAGTGGCCTCATGCACTTGCTGGATTGTGTCTAATCCTCAGGAATTATGAATAAAGTCACCGTATGCATTCTTGGATAGGTCTTTATGTGGAGAATGTTTCTGTTTCTTACTCTGAGATAAATACGTGGGAATGAAGTTGCTGGGCCCATTGTAGGGTGTGTGTTTACTTTCATTAGAAACTACCCAACCGTGTCTCCAGGTGGCCACCCAGTCCGCCTTCTCTCCAGCAGCGGGTGAGAGCAGCAGGTGTTTGTATCCTGCCCGGCCCTTAGGTCTGAGTTTTTATTCTCTAGTTAACGTTTCTACTCCCATAGGTGCGCACTGTCTCACTGTGGTTTTGATTACGTGTCCGTGAAGAGCGGCACTGAGGACTTTTCATGGGTTTAGTGGCTGCTCTATTCCTTCTTTGGTAAATTGTTCAAATCTTTTGCCCTTTTAATTGGGTTGTTTTCTTGTTATTTTTTAGAGTTCTGTGTATTCCAGATACGAGTCCATCACAAGAGTGCTTTGCAAATATTTTCTTCCTGTTTGTGGCTTGTATTTCATTTTCTTATCATTGTCTTTGAAGAACAGAAGTTTTAAATTTTGATGGTTTTTATCACATTTTTTTCTTGTATGATTTGTACCTGTGGTGTCATGTCTAAGGAAGTCTTGCCTATCCCACAGTTGTGGAGTTTTCTCCTGGAAAGCGTGTGCTTTCAGCGTTTACATTTAGTTCCATG